GGGGGGGGGGGGGGGGGGGGGCGGGGGGGGGGAAAATGGTGGAAAAGAATAGAGTTTAAAACAATGTCAGGTATCTGAATCCAAGATCTTCCTATTCGTTTTTTCATTTAGCAACGAGAGAGACTCTTATTAATAGTTCAGCCCGGCTGGCGTGGCTCAGTGGTTGAGCATCGACCTATGAACCAGGAGGTCACGGTTCGATTCCCAGTCAGGACACATGCCAGGGTTGTAGGCTTGATCCCCATTGGGGGGGTGGGGGGACGTGCAGGAGGCAGCCAATCAATGATTCGCTCTCATCACTGATGTTTCTTTCTATCTCTCCCTCCCTCTCTGAAATCAATAAAAAGATACTTAAAAAAAAAATGTTTATTCAGATATCAAAGAGGATTAGAGTAGGGGATGTCACACTTAATGCAGGTGTTTTTAACCAAGTCAAACCAGCATGTAACAGCGCCCAAGGGTATCTGATGTCCTGAGTTCTACCTTCCGAATCCCTGGTGTCTGCTCAACAAGGCTAATACCTGGGGAAGTAGTCCTCTTTGATGAGAAGCATCATCTTCCAGAACTGGGCCTGATACTGCTTCATGAGGGCATTCCCACACACCTAGGGGGAAAGACAGGCAGAGAATGAAAGCTCACACTCACCCGAGAGATCCGGAAACTACCATCAGCCCTGGCCTTTCACTCCTGTCCAGAACTTCAGCCACAGAATGGCACTGGGCTAGCAACCAAGGGAATAAATGGAAAAATACAACTTTCTTCTGAAGCATTTCTCTCTATATGGCAATACCTACATTTAACCAGCCTGCCAGGTATTAATATGAACCAAACTCAATTAACTAGTCTTCTTTGATTTACTGTACTGAAAATAAGCCTTTCTAAAGGGCTGGCATACCCCCAACCGTAGTAAGCAGAGGATACAGAATCCCACCGTGTTCTCAATGATTCAGGGTCACTGTTCACGTACTGTGACTTCAGGAGCTTTAAGGTGATTAGAAACTATTGGCATTTTAAGGCCAAATGGCCCCAAATTTATGGCATGTGCCTTCTTTCTTTAAGCAGTGTCTCCTTTCAACAGAAACCCTTACCCTTACGCCTTCTGGATGAGAGAGACACCTGACTCAAGCTGTTTAATTATATTTTCTGTGCTGAGAATTATGAATCGCAATGGTGGGATACCAATCCCCCCTAACTGCGGCTGACGAGCCACACGTGGCTCTTTGGCCCCTTGAGTGTGGCTCTTCCATAAAATACCGACTTCTGCGCATGGGCCACGAAGTTTCAATCACACTGTACGTGCGCACCCACACGTGGTATTTTGTGGAAGAGCCACACACAAGGGGCCAAAGAGCCGCATGCGGCTCGCCAGCCGCAGTTTGAGGACCACTGGTATCCTGCCCTTGGTCCTGGGAGTCACTTTTCTATCCCTAAAACAAATTCCCCTTTTCACTTATGCTGGGATGTACAGTTTTCCATTCTCTACAATGAGAAGACAAGTACAGTGGGAAGAAAAAGCAAAAGCTAGGCCTGTCGTAGGACTCAAGGAAAATCTGACACTGGACCCATGCTGTCCACCATCACCCGTGTCTGTATTGCTTCCCCACTCGCGTCACGCAGAGGCCCAAGGCTGCTTCGACCACTGATAACTGCACTGTGTACCTCCAAGAAGTCAAAGAGGAGGGTGGCTGTCACGTCCGACAGGGGCTCCATGTTTAGTATCTGTGCCAACCAGCGCCAGCCATGGTTTAAGCCATGAGGGTGAACCTGGGAGGAGAGAAGCGTGGTCATGATTTGATCTCACTTTATTCAGAGCTACACTCCCAATGCTATCATCCAGCCATGACCTAGTGGACATGAGCCCCACATCTCTAACCCAAGCACATGCAGCAGGATAGAAACCACCAAAGCCAAATGAAGTCTGTTTTGTTTTGTTTAATATGCTTTTTTTTTTAAAATATTGATTTCAGAGAGGAAGGGAGAGGGGGAGAGAGATAGAAACATCAATGATGAGAGAGAATCATTGATCAGCTGCATCCTGCATGCCACCTACTGGGGATCGAGCCCGAAATCCAGGCATATGCCCTTGACCGGAATCAAACCCGCGACCCTTCAGTCCGCAGGCTGACGCTCTATCCACTGAGACAAACCGGCTAGGGCTGAACTCTGTTTTTAAATGTTCCAATACTCTGAAGCCCACACATTCTTTACAGGATCCCTTTAATACAAATCTGTCAGCTTCAATTTCAGGAATTCCATAGATCAACAGTTACCCTAATCGACACTTATTATTTTGCTACCTTAGTGAAGAACCTGGGACAGAGCAGGTGCACAATAAAAACTTCTTGGGTTGCCCTAGCTCAGTGATGGCGAACCTTTTGAGCTCGGCGTGTCAGCATTTTGAAAAACCCTAACTTAACTCTGGTGCCGTGTCACATATAGAAATTTTTTGATATTTGCAACCATAGTAAAACAAAGATTTATATTTTTGATATTTACTTTATATATTTAAATGACATTTAACAAAGAAAAATCAACCAAAAAAATGAGTTCGTGTGTCACCTCTGACACGCATGTCATAGGTTTGCAATCACTGCCCTAGCTGGTTTGGCTCAGTGGAAAGAGCGTCGGCCTGTGGACTGAAGGGTCCCAGGTTCGATTCCGGTGAAGGGCATATACCTTGGTTGCAGGCATATCCCCAGTAGGGGGTGTGCAGGAGGCAGCTGATCGATGTTTCTCTCTCATCGATGTCTCTAACTCTCTATCCCTCTCCCTTCCTCTCTGTAAAAAAATCAATAAAATATATTAAATAAAACAAAAAACTTCTTGGGTTCAATTAACTCAGACCCTTTTCTCTTTAGGTTCCCAAGTCCATTGGCTTCTCCATGTTGCCAATCGGTGCCTCTGGGACTGGCTGGGCAGCTCAACTGGCTCGAGTGTCGTCCCGATACATCAAGGCTGCAGGTTTAATGCCTGGTCAGGGCACATGCAAGCAGCAACCAATGACTGTATAAATGCATGAGCAACAAACTGATGTTTCTTTCTCTTTCTCCCTTCCTCTCTCTCTAAAATTAAAACACACACACAAAAGAGACTGAGCTGGCAGGTCAAACCTTGGACCCCAGCTGTGGCTCTGTCGCTGTGTATCACCATGGCTTGCTAAACCTCCATCTGTCCATTTAAATCTAACCATAAAGCTCAATTTACAACCGACTACTGTCTGGTAGACTCTTTTTTAAAAATATGTTTTTATTGATTTCAGACAGAGAGGAAAGGAAAGGGAGAGGAGGAGAGAGAGAAAGAAAAAGAAAAAGAGAGAGAGAGAGAGACATCGATTGGTTGCCTCCAATACACATCCCAACCAGAGATTGAACCTGCAACCTGGGTATGTGCCCTGACCGGTAATCAAATCAGTGACTTTCCAGAGCGTGGGACAACGCTCAATAATCACACCAACCAACTGAGCCACACCAGCCAGGGCTGGTTGATTCTTTTATGAACTGGTTACCTAATAATCAACATCAACTTCTCTAAAGAAGACACATGAAGCGGCGGTATACTTGAACTCAGCACGTAACTGGAGGCCCTCTCTGAAGGCCAGTATTTCCTGCGGACAGAACACCGACTAAGGACCGACCTCGCATTCTCGGCAGTAAGCCTTTCCTACTACCTCTTGTCGAGTTCCATACGGCCACCGGAGCTGGATGATGGCAGCATAGAGACGCATCATCCCGGACATGCGTTTCAGAAAGTTGTCCTGCTGCTCCACCTTGGAATCCTTCACTTGGTAGCCAAGCATTCTAAGTGGGAGGAAGAAATTCAGTGTGACAAGGTCAAAATGAGAGTGACAGAGCAGAGATTAGGTTTCATGGCTAAAAGTAACAACATATTATTAATACATTATTGCACATTAATGCATTTGTAGAAGACGTTGTTTACAAAGCACTCACATCCACATCAAATCTGTACATCATATAAGTCCTGTGAGGTGAACTCACAGGTCATCATATCATATACAAATAAGGAAAATGACACCCAAAGAGGTAAAATTATTGACCCATTTTGTAAAGTTATTCAATGACAAAGCAGGGATAAAATTCCAAAACTCCTGGACTCTAGATCCATTATTCTTTCCACTAAACTATATTGATTATTGGCACCTAAATCCACAAATTCCAATAACTGTCCAGTTTGCATGAAAAACATTGTATTTTCTGATATAACATTCAAGACGCATAAAAGCTGTGAGGAGGAATATAAATTCTACAAGTATTTCTACTTCACGAATCGCCCTAGGGCTAGTCAGGAGACCGGCCTCACCTTTGATAGTCTTCCAAAGCCATTCCCTCCCTGAAAGCCGGGTAGAAAGGGACAGAGTACGGACAATTCTTGTGCAGATGAGCCAGGATGAGGTCCCCCACCCGCGGGTGCAGCTCCCAGATCCCGGACGCCACGACGGCGATGGGGAACGCAGCTTCATGATGAGAGGCCACCTCCTCCTCTCCTTGTTTCTGGCGACAGAGATGGGGACGGCGTTAATATCGCGAATGGCTACGTGCTGCGCACCAGCCTCGTCTTCCCGTACTCGGGCAATAAGGTTTCTCACCACAAATTTCTCTGCCAGTTTGTACTGGACAAAGTCCAGGCCCTGTGGGTTCAGGGTGACGGACACAGAGCGCCCACCAGACTGAACAGGTTTTCCAGAGAGTAGGTTGTGGATCTTGTCAAAGATCTCCTTCAGCTTGGAGCCTGGGTACGAAAGAGATAAAGTGACTTAAATCAACCTATTTTTTAGAAGGAATCTACATAAACCCAGCTGTGCAGCCCTATAGAAGTTCAGAGCCTACGGACAAAATACTGATGCAGAAAAATGCATGACAATCAAATACATATGTGGGGGAATGCAAAAAGGACACAAGACATACTATTTCATAGGAATACCTCATTTGGGAATGAATTCTGAAACTGACACATCAAACAGAGGGATAAACAGTGTGGAGATAAGTGTTATTACAGATCCCACCGCCTGTGGTTGACGTGCCTACAGGAGCCACTGCATCTCGAGGGAAAACCTTCCAGAGCATCTCTCCAGCTCACAATAATCCCCCCGGCTTCTCCGAGACCCGCCTTCCTCCATCCTCAGACACAAAGTGGGTTTCTATTATTTCATAGGAATCCCTCATTTGGGAATGAATTCTGAAACTAACACATCAAACAGAGGGATAAACAGTGTGGAGATAAGTGTTATTACAGATCCCACCGCCTGTGGTTGACGTGCCTACAGGAGCCACTGCATCTCGAGGGAAAACCTTCCAGAGCATCTCTCCAGCTCACAATAATCCCCCCGGCTTCTCCGAGACCCGCCTTCCTCCATCCTCAGACACAAAGTGGGTTTCTAGTAGCTGCGTTTGTATAAAAGAGCCTGTGTGCCCCAATCCCGACATGGGCTACAGGTAGAGTTGTCTAGCTGAGCCGATCAGCCAACTGACAGAGTCCATTCCTGACGTGCCCCAGCAACACGTACACTCGTAAGCAGTGGGACCTTGCAACTGCCACGTGGACCGAAGAACAGCCGTCTACAAACTACGCACAGAGATGCACAGAGAAGACAAGAGGAGAGAGAACAGGGCCCTGAAGTCTCTAGCCCGAGACCTAGCTTCATTCCCGCCATGAGGTCCTCCAACACGTGCAAGCAAAGTTTAAATTAGCACAGCATTGATCTAGCTGGTTTGGCTCAGTAGATAAAGGGTCGGCCTGTGGACTAAGCGGTCCTGGGTTCGATTCCAGTTAAGGGCATGTACTTCGGGTGGACCGAAGAACAGCCATCTACAAACTACGCATAGAGATGCACAGAGGAAGACGAGATGAGAGAGAACAGGGTCCTGAAGTCTCTAGCCCGAGACCTAGCTTCATTCCCGCCATGAGGTCCTCCAACACATGCAAGCAAAGTTTAAATTAGCACAGCATTGCCCTAGCTGGTTTGGCTCAGTGGATAAAGGGTCGGCCTGTGGACTAAAGGGTCCTGGGTTCGATTCCAGTTAAGGGCATGTACTTCGGTTGCAGACTCCTCCCTGGCCTGAGCCCTGGTTGGGGCTCGTGCAGGAGGCAAGCAATTGATGTATTTTTCTCTCACATCAGTATTTCTCTCTGTCTTTTCCTCTAAAAATCAATGGAAAAATATCCTCGGGCGAGGATTAAATTAGCACGGCATCACCAGCTTAGAAAATACCCTGCCATGGTCCTAATTACTTTAAGAATGTTCCCCTTATTAGATGTGGAGAATGAAACAGAGGAGGCAGTCAGAGGGGTGCCTTCCAGGTTCCAGCTAAGGTGACTGAATAGACAATGGTGCTACTGATTTCTCAGCACAAAGAGGAGAAAAACAGGCATAAGGAAATGACCAGCTCGGACCTCACCACACTGCACCTGAGGTCTCTGAGAGCCATCCACGCACAGGTGTCCCGCAGGAGCTGGTCCTAGAGAATCTGAAGCTCAGAGGAACTGGGTGAGTCGGAGGTAGACTTGGGAGTCATTCATCAGCACACAGGTAGTAATGCTGGAAGCCATGGAGGGATGGAGAAGTGAGGGTGAGAGCAGACCCCTAGGGAACACCTACTACTGAGGTGAGGGCAGGAGACCAAGGAACCAAAGGCAAGAGGCAGGAGGAGAGCCTGGAAACTAACGCTCCATGGAAGCCAAAGGAGTCACATTTCACAAAGGGAAAATCAACGGCGCCAAACAGAACTGAGAGGAAGACCAGAAAATCCTCAAAGGTGTAGAATCAAAGGAAATGTATTTTAGGGTGTGAGTGACTCATGCATGTTTAAAAGAAAAGGAGCCTGTAACAAGGGAGTAATTTCGCATAAAACAGGAGGGGAAGGCCATGAACGATGCTGCAAAGCCTTGAAGGCGATGGGAGGGGATGGGAATGAGGCAGAGGGTCAGCATGGTTCAGGACACGGCCTCCTCTGAAACAGGAGCCTGAGAGGTAAGTACAGCTGTGCACAGGTGCAGGCGGCATCGCAGGCTCTCACACCTGTCGTCTCGATTTCCTGATGAAAGAGGAGGTAAGGCAGTCGGTCGCCTGAGGAGCAAAGGCTGCGGCTAAGCCTGCGGGGGGAGTGGTGGAGGTGTGGGATGGCTGTCGAGCCACCTCTCCCCGCTGCTTGCTATCAAAGGTCAAGGCACTTTAAATTCCAGAAAGTGATACGTATTTATTTATTTATACCTTGCCCTGTTCCAGAAAGAATTTCAGGCAGCGATGTGATAGGTAAGTTCCATCATATACCATCTCAAGGGCAGAAACGGCAACCTTCCTACGCTTTGTAGGCACCCAGTCAATCAGGGGACCTGGGAGTCCCAGCTGTCCATGTGCCCCCGCCACTCAGTAGCAGGTCTGTCATTTGGAGGCTCCACAACCAGAGCGTTGCTATAAAACATAAACCTGTTTCTAAAGAAGAAAGGAAGACGGTCTTTCCTCTGTCTGGCTCCTACTCTCTCATCTCAGTCTCTGGAGAGAAAAGGAAGGAGTCTAAAGTGCTAGCAGGACCGGCTTCGAGTCTGGAAAAGCTGGTGCAGGACAAAAGCCAAGAATCTGAGTCACGCCCTAGGTCCCCTTGGCAATATTTTCTGCAGCAACGTCCAATTTTAGGTCAGAGCCACTCTAAATAATTCACTATTAACATGCAGCTTATTATTTATTTATTTTTGGTTAATCCTCACTCAAGGATATTCTTCCATTGATTTTTAGGGAAGTGGAAGAGAGAGAAACATCGATGTAAGAGAAACACATTGATTGGTTGCCTCCTGCACGTGCCCCGACCAGGGCCTGCAATCAAGGTATTTACCGTTCACCGGAATCGAACCCGGGACCCTTTGGCCCATCGCCCATCGCTCTAGCCCAGTGATGGCGAACCTATGACACGCGTGTCAGAGGTGACACTCAAACTCATTTTTTTGGTTGATTTTTCTTTGTTAAATAGCATTTAAATATATAACCTAAATATCAAAAATATAAGTCTTTGTTTTACTATGGTTGCAAATATCAAAAAATTTCTATATGTGACACGGCACCAGAGTTAAGTTAGGGTTTTTCAAAATGCTGACACCCGAGCTCAAAAGGTTTGCCATCACTGCTCTAGCCATTGAGTCAAACGGGCTAGAGCAGCCATGGGCAAACTACGGCCCGCGGGCCGGATCGGGCCCGTTTGAAATGAATAAAACTAAAAAAAAAAAAGACCGTACCCTTTTATGTAATGATGTTTACTTTGAATTTATATTAGTTCACACAAACACTCCATCCATGCTTTTGTTCCGGCCCTCCGGTCCAGTTTAAGAACCCATTGTGGCCCTCGAGTCAAAAAGTTTGCCCACCCCTGGGCTAGAGCTACAGCTTATTTAAAAACAAGCCACCAAACACATAATTATCACCTTCCATGTGCTGAAGAGGAAACAAAGGAGGGCAAAATAGGAGGCATACACCTTACATACGCCTGATCCGACTGTCAACATGCAGTCAACGTGCTGTCCGTGGGCACCTTACAGGTAAGTGGATTTGGAGTCTTACAAAGTAATAAAACCAAGTGAGGGGCCGTGCTCCTAACGCCTGTGACCAACCTGCGATGGTGGAGATCTGGCTCACGGGGATAGTGGCGGCCTTCTGGAGGTCCATCTTTATCTTTTTGACCTGCCAGGAGAGAACCGGGAGGAGACAGATCGCTTTCTGCAGAGCTGCATTAGGGAACGTCACACGCTACACATGTACCTTTGGGGCACAAGGCTGATCAGAGAACTCTGAGGCCCAGAGAATCTCCGCTTCCACCCCTTCCTACCTGACTGTCTTTGCTGCTGGTCAGTCCCTCAAAGGCCAGCACACACTGACGGGAGGCTTCCTGCAGCTGCTGGTACCACTGCATTGTACTGTCTTGTACCTTCACCTGGAGGTCTGAGGAGTAAAAGACAGGCTCTCTTAACAGTAGCTAGTATTTACTGAACACTTAGTACGAACCAGACACTGTTCTAATCACCTCATGCATGCACAACTGCTTTTACTGTCTAATCCATGAAGCAGATACTATTATTATCTTCATTTTATACAGAAACAGACGTGGAAAGGTTAACCAATTTGCCCAGGTCACATTGCTAGGAAGCAGTAAAACTAGATTCCCACTGATCTGGCTCCAAAGCCAGCATTCTCGACCATCACACTACAGTGATTCTCTTATGTTTTAACAAGCATGTATTTTGTACATATTTATTTAAAATACTCAGTAGCAGCAATACTTGGAATAATATATCTATTAGAATGATATAGAATTTCAAGTCCTCATGGCAAGTGCTGGAGTCTGAAGTCAGGCTCCACATCAGCCGATACTCAAACGCCTTCTTGCTCCTTCGCATGTGCTGAAACTTACAACAAGGATCGTACCCCAGGACACTCACCTTCGCTCCGTTTCCCTCCCGGGCCCTGGCTGGGAGCGGGGCACTCTTTGCGGACCTCCGGCCTCTGCTGCGCCTGTGCCTCTTGCCGCTTCACCTGGGCCTCCTCTTCTTCCTGCCTCCTCTTGTCTTCACATGCCCTGGCGTCCGCCAGGAGGTCCCGCATTTCCTGCAGCGCGCTCTCGGCCACGGCTTGGTCCTCTGCCGTGGGAAAGCCGTTCTGTCAGGGTGAGAGGCAGAGCTTTGTGGTTATGCCTAGGCAGCCTGTGGGGCTGAGTCACACCTTACACAAGCCAATGTATTTCTGGAATTCCAACTGTTGTATTAATGTCTTACCATTCATCAAAGTGGCGATACCTACTGCTTTCCTGTTCTCATAAAGGTAACACCAATTTACCATCACCACCACCAACACCGGGCGGAAGAGCTTTTTAAACATTTGTGACAAGAGTCTACACAAAAACGATATGGTGTTTTCATTTGCATTCCATGTATTAATGGCGATTTTGAATTTATTTTCAAATCTGTTAGACAATTATATTTGTGCTTTTTTTTTTAAATATATTTTATTGATTTTTTACAGAGAGGAAGGGAGAGAGATAGAGAGTTAGAAACATCGATGAGAGAGAAACATCGACCAGCTGCCTCCTGCACATCTCCTACTGGGGATGTGCCCGCAACCCAGGTACATGCCCTTGACCGGAATCGAACCTGGGACCCTTCAGTCCGCAGGCCGATGCTCTATCCACTGAGCCAAACCGGTTTCGGCTATATTTGTGCTTTTATACACTGTCCTGTCCTTTGCTCATCTTTCCATTAGTGGGATGGAGGTAGAGTGATTTATCTTTTCCCCCCTAAATTCCTAAGTTCCTAATGATAGTTTAAAAAAGAAAAGCCCTCTTAAGTTGCTGTAGAATACTAGGAAAGCAACTCATTATGCTGGAAACTGATGAGGGAAAGACTCTAATATTTGTTTTCTTTCTTCTACAGGCTGCACCTCAAGATAATAGTTTATGGGAAGCATTTCTTCTTGTAGTTGAATTCCAGAAAGAATAATAAACTTAGAAAAACGTAAAACATACCACCCCTAATGAATAATGGTCAGCAATGGCCACTGAGCCACTAGCTCAGCGGTTCTCAACCTGTGGGTCGCGACCCCTTTGGCGGTTGAACGACCCTTTCACAGGGGTCGCCTAAGACCATCCCGCATATCAGATATTTACATTACGATTCATAACAGTAGCAACATTACCGTTATGAAGTAGCAACGAAAATAATTTTATGGCTGGGTCACAACATGAGGAACTGTATTTAAAGGGCCACAAGGTTGAGAACCACTGCACTAGCTAAAGGCCCTCGGGGACCTTCACGGTGGGAGATAAGGCTGACAGTATCTGAAGCCATGGGCTGACCTGAGTATCACAAGTGGAAAGGCCATCAGATAGCCTTTTGCACCTTTGGCATGGTGCAAAAACAGTTACATACATACTACCCCCTATGAAGTTGTCATGTGCCCACAACTATCAAACACAAATCTGAGCAAGCTCCTAGATCTGTGCTGTCCAATAAGGTAGCCATATGTTGCTATTTAGGTTTAAATTAATTTTAAAAGTGTTTTACATTACAATACAACTCTCAGGCCCTTGCTGGTTTGGCTCAGTGGATAGAGCTTTGGCCTGCAGACGAGGGGTCCCAGGTTTGATTCCAGTAAAGGCCACATGTTGCAGGCTCGATTCCCAGTAGGGGGCGTGCAGAAGGCAGCCGATCAGCGATTCTCATCATAGATGTTTCTCTCTCTCTCCCTTCCTCTCTGAAATCAATAAAAAAATATTTAAATAAATAAATAAATAAATAAATAAAATGGTGTCACTGCAGTGTTATGCACAATAGTGAAAATATAGAAACTTAAATGTCCACCAACAGACATGTTTTTTTCTTTTTTGGGGGGGGAGGAGGGGTGTGAAATCACAGGGGCCAGCACATCCGGAGTGCAATGGATAACCCTGGCCTGGGAAAACCACCTTCGTGATCATGGTATCTCCCCTGCCAGGTAAGTACAGACATGCTTTTTTCAATACATGTTGGTATGGTTATATGTTGGAAACATCCAATTTCATCTATCCATCCAATACTTATTGACTACATACTACGTGTTAAGGCAATACTGGCATGTTTTAACAGTGCCTTCAAAACATGGATATTTTAGTAATTAGAGTAATTATGTGTTCAAAATACATTAACTGAAAAAAGCAATAAAAATTTCTGTAAGTTTTTAATATTGATAAGTATAGCAGGCATTCAATAGACATTCCTGAATGAACGAGATAAAGTATTTTGCAATCAGAAAACACACTTTTTAAACCTAAGATGAGAGACTCTATCTATGAGCCCCATGTGGGACGGGGATGACGCACACGCACACAATCTGCAGACAGAACAGAGTCCCCTGCAGCCCCCTCACCTCTGAAGTGGTCCGAATGATCCCCGAGATGAGGCCGCACAGCTGGTTGCCTCGGCTCCGCAAGGCCAGCAGGTCCACCTTCAGGTCTCTGTGCTGGCCCACGGAGTCCAGCTGCTGGTTGAGGTGCAGCAGCTCCTCCTGCGCGGCATAGAGGCTCCGCAGGCGGACCTGGCCTTCCTCCCTCCGCAGCCGCTCCTGCTCCACCCGCTTCAGCCGCTGCTGCTCTGCCTCCCACAGCTTCAGGTTGAGAATCTATAGAAAGGGCTGCCGAGTTACCTCTCTGAGGGGCTCCTGGCCTCCTCTTTCTACATCCTCAAGCTCTATGCGGGCCACATATTTTCACAGACGGACCCAGAGCAGGAAAGGGCTGCCCAGGGTCAGTCACACAGAGGCAAGAAAGGGGCCAGGTCCTCCACGACTGTTTGCCAGAACTGACTCTTCGGGAGGTTACAGCCAGACCCCGAAACCCCCACACGGGTTCTCCCAGGCTCTGACCTTGGCTCTGTGGCGATGCTCAGCTTTCAGCTTCTCTTGCTGCCCCAGGGCTTCTCTGGAGCTGAGTGAGGAATGGCAGGGAGGATCAGTCAGGGATGCTGCCTAAAACCGTCTTCTCTCTTCCTAAAACTGTCAGTTCCAGCTGACCCTCCCGACATTTCCAGTCCTACTTCAGGACTCACCTCTTTTCCATCATTTCCCTCAAGTCCTGGAATTCTTTATGATGCTTCAGTTCCTTCCGTTCATCAAAACGCTTCAGCTGTTCAGATGCCATCTCAGAGAGCGCTCGCACCTTCCTCTCCTGCTCCTCCTGCCACAGCCTCAGGCCCTCCTGCAAAGGATCAGCCCCTGCTCGCCGGAGCTGCACTACCACCTCGCTCCCTTACCCTGTGGTTAACTCTAGCAGATGTCCCAGGACTTACAATCATCCGCGTACTTCTCCGAACCTCTGCTCGGTCACCTCTCTCCTTGGGCTGATCTTTAAACTCAGCAGCAATCTATCAAAATCCTTATCCCAATATCCTAAACTTGCTAGGTACATTTCTACCTCAATCCATTCCTCATGTCCTTATCTCTGCCTAGATTTCCCCCCACATCCACTTATGCCTAAGGTCCATCTTCTCAGGATAACCTTATCTTAAAACCCCAGGTCACCTTCCAATTTTGGAGAAGTAAATGGAATCCAGGAAAGCCTATGCAGTTTTCCTAAAGTCACATGTAAAACAGAAGAGGATTTGAAACTGGATTTGACTTGAGAGACTGCTACATTACACTTCCTCCACAAACGAGTCAGCAGCTGCTAGCACGCAGTAGGGCACCATGATCAGCACACAGCGGGCTTTCATAAACCCTGAGGAACTGCACCTAACTGTGGGTCACTTACTGCTCCTCTCATTCTGTGCACCAGCTCATACATTCGGATGCAGCCTTCCACCTTGATGCCCCTGGAGGACTGCAGTAACATGGGCTCTGTGTGCTGGGACTCACGTTTGCCCTGACAGACAGAAAATGGCTTAGTCGGGACTGCTACATCACACTTCCTCCACAAACAGTCAGCAGCTGCTAGCACGCAGTAGGGCACGATGACCAGCACACAGTGGGCTTTCATAAACCCTGAGGAACTGCACCTCACTGTGGGTCACTTACTGCTCCTCTCATTCTGTGCACCAGCTCATACATTCGGATGCAGCCTTCCACCTTGATGCCCCTGGAGGACTGCAGTAACATGGGCTCTGTGTGCTGGGACTCACGTTTGCCCTGTACAGACAGAAAATGGGAAAATTAAGCTTTTAAGATGGTATGGTTGCTGTTATCCCTTCAAGACAAAACCCACATTCCTACTTATAAACAACAATGAAAACAAAACAAAGGAGGTTAGAACTAGTGAGCTTTTCGTGATACTGACCTTGTTCTCTTTGTTTTCCTTAAACACACACACACACACACACACACACACACACACACACACACACACAACGGGCCTGTTTTAATATTTTAAGCACCCCAGGCAAAGACGGGGTGCTGAATTGACCCACCGCAGAGAGAAAGGAGGAAGAGTAAACAACACTCCCTCACAGTTGACAATCACATCGGGTCAGAAAACAAGTTTCCCAAATGACACTGTAAGCTTCTGTTTCACTATCAAAAGATGCTGCTGCTGCTCATCCAGGGAGCGGTCCAAGGGGGAGTTGGAAATGAGCCCTCACGGGGAGGATGAGCTCGGAGAACACAATGAGAAGATGATGTCCAGGGCGCAGATAAGATGTCCCATTCCTACTTATAAACAACAATGAAAACAAAACAAAGGAAGTTAGAACTAGTGAGCTTTTCATGATACTGACCTTGTTTTCTTTGTTTTCCTTAAACACACACACACACACACACCACAAGGAACAACTTCTTTTCTGCTTGCTTGCTAGTTTTGATCTGCCCAGCAAATTTCCCCCCTTTTTTTCTGATAGTGTCCATTTGTGCCAGGATGGTTTGGATGGAGCAACCCCAATCCACATCCTCAATTCTTTCACCTTCCTGGCCTCAGGGGCAAGCAGGTGACCAGCTAGCAAAGTCCTCTAGCCTCCTGTAGCCAGTATCCACTTCAGCAATGAGGCTGAGAGCCAAGCGAGGCCAGAGTTCATCTCTGAGTTTCTCTGATGAAGCTATCTAGGAGGCCTTCTCTAACCTAAGAAGGTGTGTGTCTAGTGCTACCAACAGCCATCTTACCACATTGAGTCTTCCTGAAAAGTGAACCCAAAGAGCGTTAGGCAGAATCGAGAGATGGAAAGGCAAAGCCCTGGATGTTTGAGAACTGGATCAAGTCGGAAATAATGTCAAGCAGAGACATACAGAAAACAGACCATCATTGCCCTGGCCAGTGTGGCTCCCGCCCCCTCTCCCTTCCTTACTCTCTAAAAATCAATTTAAAAAACATACATAGAGAATCCAGGGATATTTAAACGATGGAATAAAATCATTGCTACATAGACTTTCAAAAAAAACCCACACAAACATACACAAAACAAACAAACAAAAAACAGTCAAATGGTAGCCCTGGCTGCGTAGCTCAGTTGCTTGGAGCGTCATCCTGATACACCAAGGTTGAAGGTTTGATCCCTGGTCAGGGCACATACAGGAATCAACCAATGAATGCATAAGTAAGTAGAACAAGAAATCAATGTTTCTCTCCTTCTCAAATCAATAAAACTTAAAAAAAAAAGATAGATAAATAAATCATGCTCCTGTATACCTATAGTCCCCCTTATTCGGTCCAAACCTATTCCTAAATTTGTGTAACCATCCCTCACATGCAGTAAATAGCCTGGTGTCACTCATTTTAGGGGATCCCTTGCTTACTATCTGTTGTCTTCATATGGACTCAATACTTTCTGGCATAAAAACACATTGCCATCAATCAAACAAGCTTTCTGGTCATGTTACCCACCCACAAATTATATGCCTTTTCCAATTAGCTGAACACTTATCATGCACTGTGGTCATTAACTTTTTTAGTTTCAGATGCAACAGCCAATCTTGCACAAATTTTTTTTTCCTTCTTGACAATTTAATGGATGGAAGATTCATTGTGACCATAGATCTTAGAAATGTCAGCATACAATTTTTCCCCCTTTCCTTATTAAGCTGAGAACTTTCACCTTTTGACTTAAAAGAGGCACTTTATGGCTTCTCATTGGTACATCCAGATTGCCAACATCCCTACTCCTGCACTTTGGGGACATTATTAAGTTACTTGAACATTACAATTACAAGAGTTACTTGAACATCAGTACTACAATACTGCAACAGTAGATCTGACCCAAGACGGCTACTCAGTGACTAATGGGCGGGTAGTGGACACAGCATGGAGATGCTGGACAAAGGGACGATTCCTGTCCCAGGCAGGACAGATCGGGAGGCACAGCATTCATCACGTAACTCAGAATGGTGCACAATTTAAAATCGTATGAATTGTTTATTTCAGGACTTTTCCATTTAATATTTTCGGACTGTAGTTGACAGCAGTAACTGAAACCATGGAAAGCGAAACCTCAGACAAGAGAGAACTACTGTATACAGGCAAACTACTCTGAAAATATACCACCAAAAAAAACAAAACAATAATACAGAAAAAGACCACCACCAATAACAATTTACTGGGTTTTCTTAAAGTATTTTTATTGATTTCAGAGAGGGAGAGATAGAAACAGCAATGATGGGCGAGAATTATTCATGGGTTGCCTTCTGCATGCCCTCTACTGGGGATGTGCCCTTGACTTGAATGGAACCCAGGACCCTTCAGTCCGTAGGCCGATGACTCTCTAGCCACTGAGGCAAACTGGCTAGGATAACAATTTACTTACTTTGTAAGTGAGAGAAACAAACAAAGGCAGTGACAAAATAGAGCGAAAAATAGGTAAAAACTCAGACAGAACTAATGATAAGATGTGTAAATCCTAAGCACAGGTTAAATTTTATTCTATGCCCCAGCAGCCAGCACAAAAAGGGAAACTTTACCAGTTAAACAGATGCAAGCTTCCAGTTAAACAGATGCAAGCTTCCAGTTAAACAGATGCAAGGTTCATGTGGAAAACAATCCAACTGCTCATGACGTTAGTTACTACTCTCGGTACTGAGAATAGAGGGGAATCTCTCTCTCTCGGTCTTCATAAGGCGAACACAGGGTGATGTGGGCAACACTGTCCCTACAAACAGCTACCAAGAAACAACCACGACTTTATGCAGGGCAAAGGCATTGTCACATGATGACATTACACAACTCAACTTTGCAACCACCCCTGTCGTCTGTCCTCAGCTGATCGAAAACCTTACCTTGGTCCCATCTGGTGTTGCTGGTGTTCTTGGGGATGCTGGTGAAAAGGCAAGGCTTCTGATGGGAGACTTGGGAACAAATGAAGGTTGGTCCAGGCCTGAAGTGGATCTAGAGGATGTTGACGTCTCAGAGGGAGACAGGTTCTCTTGTGTGTGGGGTAGGACATGATCTACCACCCATCCAGCATAAGAAGATAGCTGGGGAGTGGATACACATTCTTCTAAAACATCCTAGAGAAGAAGAAGATGTGAAGCTCAACTTGCATGTTAACTGAGATAGACTGAAGCACTTCCTGAGAACACAGCCTCATTTCTGCGGTATTCCTGTTAAGGATGTATAACCTGAGTATACACCAGACAGACCAATCCTGGGACTCAGCCTCTAGAATGTAAGGTATGTATGTTTTAAAATTGTCAAAGATATAAAAGACAGGGGAACGCTTTAGAATTGTTTTACACAGAAGTCTAAAGAGACAGGGCAGTAGCTAGATTACCAGAAACTCCGGAACAGGAGGTATGCCTTAACTGTTCCTACATGCCCCCTCCACCTGGCGGTCTAGTACAGAACTCTGCAAATACAGTGATCACGCCCCCAGTAAACTTCACAGGTCCTCCAATGTCATCTAAAACTCTGTGCGATCAAACTTTTGGCCCGGTGGACCGAGCGCCGGCTTGCGGACTGAAGGGTCCCAGGTTCGATTCTGATCAGGGGCACATGCCGGGGTTGCGGCCTCGATCCCCAGTGGGGGGCGTGCAGGAGGCAGCCGATCCATGATTCTCTCTCTTCATTGATGTTTCTCTCTCTCCCTCTTCCTTCCTCTCTGAAATCAATAAAAATATATTAACAAATAAAAAAATTTAAAAGTTTGTGTGTGGTGCTTCACTTGCAGCAATACGTCATATTAATCGTTCACTGCAAAATCTGCCCGTCCTAGCACAGGCAGTAACTTCACTGACCCTGGGGCCAGGGCTGCTTTGACAACAGAGGCGGAGGCGCCTCGTCTGGCTGCGGGTCGCACGGAGCCTTCAGAAAGAAGAGCGCCTCTGAAGGGGTGTCCCCAGCGGCTGGAATAGGCTGGGGAGAGCAGAAACCCTAGGGCAGCGTGGTGCACAAACAGGAGTCGAGAAACAAATGCGGGTGGTTAGAAAGGACGCACGGGGTGCCGGCGTAGCGGCCAGAAGGGCTACAGCCGCCTCTGGATCCACTGCTCACCTCGCCCCGCAGGAGCCAGTCGCGGTGGTAGCAGAGGCGACCTTTGTCGGAGCTGCGCAGCGCCTGCAGGGTCTCCCAGCAGCGACTCTCGGACGGCATGGCCCGTGCTGCAGCCGCTCTTCCGAGATGCCGCTGGTGGAAAAACAAGCCCTCGAATCAGCCGCCCCGTAAACGAGCGCTCGCTTCCGCTTCCGGGGCGTGCACTCAGTTGTACACAGCAACACCGCCTCCGGAAGACTGTACGCCCCACTTCCGGTTCCGGATCTCCAGTGCGCCTGCGTACCCGGAGGGCCGGGCCCTGCGGGGAACTTCAGACCGGCGCACTTCAGAAGCCTGGAGCCTCCTTGTGGTAGAAAGTGGAATACGCAGTATTGATGAGTATGTGAAGAAATTGGAATCACCCCCACACTGCTGGCGGGACCCTAAACGGTGGCCGCTGCTGTGGAAGTCAGGCATTTCTTCAGAAAGGTTAGAGTTACTAAATGAATTAAATGTGCGTCCATACCAAGACTTATTGAATGTTCATAATAGCATTACCCAGAATAGCCAAAAAGTCTAAACCCGGATGTACATGAACAGATATGTGCTACACAACAGGGATGAACCTTGAACACATTATACCAGGTGACAGAAGCCAGTCACAAAGTTACATATTACATAATTCCACTTATGTGAAATGTCCAGAATGAAAACCCACAGAGACATGAAGACTCTTATTAGTGGCTGCCAGAGGCTGGGGCTGTAGGGCAATGGGGAGGGGAGTGGCTACTAATGCATGAAGCTTTCTTTTGGGGGAGATGAAAATGTAAAATTAGATCATTGTGATGATCGCACGACTTTGTGAATACACTTAAAAACCACTAAATTATACACTTTATTACCCAGAGCCAGCTTTGATTCGGATCCTTTAACTTTGTAAAAATGTTTTGATTGATTTCAGAGAGAGGAAGGGAGAGGGAGAGATAGAAACATCAATGATGAGAGAGAATCATTGTCTGCCTCCTGCATGCCCCCCACTGAGATCGCAAGGTGGGGTGGGGGGGTGTATATGCCCTGACTGGCTTCCGTGACCTCCTGACTCGGATTGACCCTCAACCACTGAACAGCACTGGCCAGACCCGATCCTTTCACTTTAGTCTAAAGTTTAGACTCTTCTTTTTTCTGTCTTAGGGGATTAATTTGAGATAGAAGGCTTCTCTCTGGAGTTTGAAGCAATATAAACATTTTTCATTTTTTTTACAAACTCTGGACAAAGAAAAACAGAACATTACTATTATTTTGGTGCGTTGGCGGGGAAGCAAACCCAAACAGAACGTTATTGGGAGAGGTGTTTCCCACACCAGCATTATAAATACCCGTGCCCTGCACTGAGGTGTTCATTGGTTTGATGAAAATAAGGATGAATTATATAAATAGGTATGTACATTGGTATGAGTGCCAACTGTCCTTTCTAGGGAAGGTCTTTCATATATTCTCCATGTAAGTTCAAGTCCATTTGTTAAGGGTGTGAAAACAGGCTTGGCTTTGTGGCAATGGTGGCTACTAGTTGTTTTGTCAGAATTTCCTTGGCAAAATTAACAGCTGGAAACGACAGATGTCACCAAAATTTGGGTGTGGGGGGAGGGAGTTTTCTGGTCATGAAATCCTGACGCCTGGGTGTGGCCACTGCCTTTGAGGACATAGGGGAATTCTCTGGAGTTTTGGACTTGGGTGATAGTGGCTGAGAGAGAACAAGACTGGATCAGCCAGAAGGCTTAATACCAGCTAAGTGGAAAGGTTACGTTTCAGCACCGTACCAAATGTGTTCTCGCTAAAGAATTTGTTGCCCTGGCTGGTGTGGCTCAGTCGGCTGGAGCATCTTCAGAGAACACATACCCAGGTTGTGGGTTCAATCCTGGGTCGGGGTGGTGTGGGAGGCAACTGACCAAAGTTTGATGTCTCTCTCTCTCAAATCAATTTAAAAATCTTTTTGTTGTTCTTGTTGTTAATCCTCACCTGAGGATATTTTTCCATTGATATTTAGAAAGAGTGTAAGGGAGGGGGAGAGACGTGATGTGAGAGAGACACATCAATTGTTTGCCTCCTGCACATGCCCTGACTGGGGTCCAGGATGAGCCTGCAACCAAGGTACGTGCCCTTGACTGGAATCGAACCTGAGACCCTTCAGTCCGAGAGCCTATACTCTAACCACTGAACCAAACTGGCTAGGGCTGTTGTTCTTTCTTTTAAATACAGGAAAAATCTGAAGAGAACAAAAATAGGCAATACATCATTCAGAAACCAATTAACATTTTAAAAAGTCATATATACACACATCTCAATTTCTTTCTCCTAACAGCTAAAGTGGTCTGCACCCCAACAATGAACAATGCCTCCAGTCATCTCACAAAAAGCGCCCACAGGACAAACTAGCTGGGCCACAATGAAATGAAAGATTAATGTTCCATGCACCAAGTACTTTAAAAATAGTTACTGGCTCCCATTAAGCACTATACTTAATCATTTTTAGAAGAGGGATGGGGGTGGGTAAAGGAAATCATCCATGGAGTCTTAAATATTGATTATAAAAGCTTTTTGTAAAGCAACACAAATATTTCAAAGATAAATGCATTCCATAGATACAAACCTGGCAAAGAGAAACAAAAATTAATGATCTTGGGATCACACTTTTAAAAAGGCCAACTGGACACGAGCCCTTGAGTGTCTTTTGTGAAGTGCGTGGGGCAAGTGGCCTTAAGGAAACTCGGATACGAGAGGTTTCCATCGGGCGTGGGAAAACACCGCACCCAGGAAATAAGGAAAAGCGGAAGTAAATGTGCCCACAACCCAGGAGGGGTGGTGAGGACCTCTGCTGGCTCAGGTCCAAGAATTTACTTAAGAAATATATTTCTAGAAAGAGGGGTGTAGGGGACTGGAGGAAAAAGTCCAGTCCACACATTCTCTCAGGAAAGGAATGAGCTAAGTCACAGTGAGTTAAAATCTGGTTCCCTCATAGTAGTAGATTTAAGGCCTGGCAAGGTACTTAAAAACTTCCTTCAGGCAACTCTAGCAGGGAGGGGAGAACTGAGTGGCTCCTGCTGCTTCATGCCCTGCTGCTCTAGGGACTGTCATGGAGCCAGTAGCTAAGCACAAGATCCTAAACACACACTTCGTCACTGGGAGAGAGGAAAAGCAACAGGCTTTCCAGGTATGGCTTGGCAACTTGTCAGTTCCCATGGCATCGGTCTGGGCTCCCGGCCCAAGACAGGCGGGCTCAGACAGGAGGAGACCTGGAGCGGATGGGAGAGCTGGTCAGGTAGGTAGTGTAAGGACTGTCCCCAAACACGTTGGCGTAGGACGACTTGAGGAACTGGACATAGTTCTGCATGCTGCGGTTCGTGCTCTCCGACTGCTCCAGGCGATCTTTCAGGTCTTGCAGCCGGCTCTGGTAGCGGCGGTCAGCCTACGAGAGGAGCGGAGTTGGGTCAAGTGTGTGTGAGATGCCCAGCATAGACAAGGCCACAGCGACACAGAGACTTTATTAGGGTTGCCAGGGGCTGACGGGGAGAGGATTGGGGAGTGACTGCTAATGGGTATAGAGTCTCTTTTTAAAAATATCCTAAACTCGTATTGTGATGATACTTGTACAACTCTGAATATACTAAAAACCACTGAATGATGCAGTTTAAATTTGCATAAATGTGATTTTCATGGTATATAAAATGATATCTTAAAGCCGTTAATAAAAAAATAAAAAGGATCTGCCAGGGGTATCCTTCGGGGATAGAGAAAAATTAAACCATGTCCTTTTCATAAAACAACAAAACACCGTGCCCTGCAGGTCCCAGGAAGCCCAAAGTTCAATCCACTCCCATCTCTTCTGCCCTCTGCCCTCCAGCCTGACTCACATCGTCACGGCTCCGCCGCAGCTGGGAGAGTTCCGTTTTGGCCCTGCTCAGCTGGGTCTCAAGATCCAGGATTTTGTTCTGGGCTGCTCGTTCCTTGGAGACTGCGTGCTCCTTGGTTTGCTCCACCTGCCCGGAAGGAACAGAGGTGGAGGTGCCCACCTGACGGTGAACACCTAGCAAGGAGAAGCCTGGGCCACTCCACTGTCTGGTCTCAAGGACCACACTTGCACATCACCATGGCGAGTTGTTTGGGGCCTCAGGGTGGGAGCTTACCTCAGCAACCATCTTTACCAGCCCTTTCCCAACACCCCATGAGTCATCATCGTCCTAAGATGTGACAAGCCTGTCTGATCCCACGCAGGCAACACTTAAATGAGCAATCATGAGTCAGGGGTCAGGTCCTTCACAATAATTGCTCATTTGATCCTTATGGTGAATTCACGAGGCAGGTACTACTCTAGGCCCATTTTTTAGGTGGGAAAATACACTCAGAGAGGTTATGTGATTGGGCCAAGGTCACAGGATTAGTAATGGAATTGACACTGACCTGCCTCCTAGCATCTTCAATGGCGCTCTCCAGCTGCCTTGCCAGGGACCCACATTCCCGTGTTTTCTCCTCCAGCCGCAGCTGGGACTGGTGGATTGCCTCCTCCCTCTTGGCAATCACCTGTAGGAACTCGATATTCTGGGCACTGGTCGCCTCCAGTTTCCTAGGTGAAAGCACTCAATCAGATCCTGTTCATCCCCATACCTGCCCTGTTCACCCTGCCAGGGGGCTGCAGTCACCCTGGACCAGGGCTCTCGTCACGCAGGGAACCTCCAAGGAGCCACAGGAATAAACCAAAGGAACCTGCTGATCAGCCAGGCGGCAAGGAATTGCAACTGGAGCAGCTGGTTGGAGAACCGTGTGAAGGCAGGAAAAGGAAGCAGAGTGAGTGCGGTTGTGCTAAGTGTGCACATCTTCATGTAATACAGCAACGGGCAGCTCGGGAAGGTGGGTTCCCTTATTCCCCCCCTTTCAGATGAAGACACTCGGCCTCAGAGATGTGAAGTCACTGGCCCAGTGTCACACAGCTGATAGGCCTGTCACCAAAACTCATGCCCTCACTTCTGTTCACTGCTGCCTCCTTCAGCAAAGGGACTTCAGCCGGACCACTCAGTATCTCGCCTGACCAGCCATGGGCAGCATGACCATCCCGATGTGCAAGTGCAGTCGCCACTGCACTTGTGGAACATGCTCCACTTTAAGGAGCTCTGCAAGTCCTGCCGAGTCCAGCTGCATGTCTGAGGCCAGCAACGCAGAGTAGAGGTGAGGTGGG